AAGCAACCAGCAAAAGCAGCGCAGCAGCAGCAGCAGCTGCTGCTGCGCATTGGCCGGCTGCAGGAGCAAAAGCTGCAGCTGGAGAAGCAGCAAATGGAGCAGCTGACGGCGAAGACGAGGGCCTTCTCAGACGCGCTGCAGCAGGCGCAGCACAGAGCTGTCCGCGAGGGTTTAGGGTTTAGGGTTTAGGGTTTAGGGTTTAGAGGCTGAGGCGCGAGAGGCCCTCGGAAATACTCAAGAAGCGGGCAGCGTCTCTCAACGGTTTTTGTAGGACGCGGATTGCTCAGACTTAGAGTTTAGGGTTTAGGGTTTAGGGTTTAGGGTTTAGGGTTTAGGGTTTGCTTGGCTCATGCAGGCGGTGGCAGATCAGCAGCGAGATGAAATCGCAAGCTGCTTTGAGGCCCTCAGGGCAGAAAGGGAAAAACTTTTTAAAACGGTGCGGCCACGAGGGTTTAGGGTTTAGGGTTTAGGGTTTAGGGTTTGGGTTTAGGGTTTAGGGTTTAGGGTTAGGGTTTAGTGTTAACGATTTTGAGTCTAGGGTTTGGGTTAGGGTTTGGGGTTAGGGTTTTAGGGTTTAGGGTTAGGGCCTAGGGTTTAGGGTTTAGGGTTTAGGGTTTAGGGTTTAGCGTTTATGTCTCAGAACGACGAAATTGCTCGAGAGCTGCAGTTGTTGACGGAGACGAACAAGGTGGGTGTGGCATTCGGCGAAACCCTAAACCCTAAACCCTAAACCCTAGCCCAAACCCTAGCCTCCATCTCCGGCGGCCCAGCCCAAACCCTATACCCTAAACCCTAAACCCTGACCGCCAGTTTCTTTGGCCCAGCCCACACGCAAAACCCTAAACCCTAAACCCTAAACCCTGGAGCCCAAACGCAAACCCCTAAACCTTAAGCCCTGGCGGCCAAGTCCCGCGGCGCAGCCCAAGCCGCAGACCCCAAACCCTAAACCCTAAACCCTAAACCCTGCTGCAGGCCTCGGAAGGCGTGATAGAGCGGCACCAAATAAAGCTGCGGATTTTGGAGGCGAATTTGAGAAGACAAAGTGAGGCGAAAGCTGAGGCGGACAAAAAGCTGCAAAAGTTCAAAGAGAGGCAGGAGAAACAAGAAAGAAAACGCCGTAGGGTTTAGGGTTTAGGGTTTAGGGTTTAGGGTTTAGGGTTTAGGGTTTAGGGTTTACGGTGCAGGGTTTAGGGCTTGCGGTTTAGGGTTTGGGGTCTATGGTTTACGGTTTGGCGTTTTGGGCTTGGGGTTTAGGGTTTGGGGTTTAGGGTTTGGGCTGTAGTAGGGTTTGGGGTTTAGGGTTTAGGGTTTAGGGTTTGGGGTGCTGTGCGCAGTCTTGGCAGCCGCTGAGGATCCTTCTTTGGCGATTAACAACTTGCTGCAAGAAGAAAATGAGACAATGCGAGTGAGGAAACACCGAGGGTTTAGGGTTCAGGTTTTAGGGTTT